GGAGGCGAGGGGGGGGGGGGCGGCTGCAGGCAGGGGGCTGCCCCAGCCCAGAGGTGAGCATGCCCCCTCCTGCCCACCTTCCCCTTTAATTGGTTAACAATATGTGGAACTGGTTAACCACTTAATGGGATTTTACAGAATTTGGTCCACACTTAGGAGCTGAGGATACATCGTCACTGCCAGTTCTTCCGGCAGAAAATATGCTAATGAGGGACTCATTAGCATAGGTTGTGATCTCATTTACATATTTTCTGCAGATCTGTTTTTTCGCTCGGGGTTTTTGCGCAAAAACAAGCAGGGAGGGCGTTTCCTTTTTGCGCAAAAACCCCTTTTGGCGCAAGATCCTTATGCCTCAAAAAAGGAGGTTTACCGATCTTGCAGAAAAAGGGGTTTTTGCACAAAAAGGAAACATCCACACTGCTCTGCTTGTTTTTGCGCAAAAACGGATTGGCAGAAAATATGCAAATGAGATTGCAACTTATGCTAATATCTCCCTCGTTAGCATATTTTCTGCTGCAAAAACTTGTAGTTTAGATGTAGCCTGAGAGTCTGTGGCAAGGCATGACTTTGCTGTTGCAGTCATTTGGCTCTCTATTCCGGTTAGACATTGCTTTCGCCTGCGCTTTATAGGACTGCGTTGCCACACTTGAGAAGCAGCGGCTGTCTGGAGCAGTCATACTGGGTGGTTAGTGACAACATCAGGACTCTGTCGGGTTCTGTGGCTAACTTGCCACATGGCCTTGGAAAAGTCACTTAAGCTCTGTGGGGTGCGTCTACACTGCAGCTGGGAGCAAGCCTCCCAACCCAGGGAGACAGGCTGAGCTAGCTCTAGCTGTGTGGATGTAGCAGCGTAGGCTGCAGCTGAGCTCTTACGCCTAGGGGCAGACCCGCCAACAGGCTGCAGCAGCAGTGCTGGCCAGACCCCCAGGCCCTTTAAATCGCTGCTGGGGTGCTGTGCAGAGTGCTCCGGTTGGCTCTAAGGGCTGACGGGGGTGGGTGGGGCAGTGTGCTCAGGGCAGTGCTAAGGGTTGGCAGCCCCACCCCTTCTGCCTGAGGCTCCACCCCTTCTGGGAGCATGGAGCTGCTCTCCCCCGCCCCCAAACACCTTGCCCAGTGGCCCAGCAAGTCCGTTGGCTCCATTGCTCGGGAGTTAGAGTCTGAGCCTCGGCACTCAGATTGCTGTTTTTTATGTGCTAGCTCAACTCCTGCTAGAGCAAATCTGTCTAGGTGGGCAAGAGGCTCGCTCCCAGCTGCAGTGTCATCTGTGCCTCGACTGCCACACTGCCTACCTTCCTGACAGTTCCGCCTTGACCCTGTTTCCTAGGCTGTGTCTCCGTTTACCGGAGGATCAGTGCTGCGGCGGTCGATCTTCCAGCAGTGGATTTAGCGGGTCTAGTAAAGACCTGCTAAATCGAATGCTGAGCGTGCCCCCTTTGGCACCGGCACTCCTTGCTGTTGCGCGGAGTAAGAGAAGTCAGTGGAAGAGTTTCTCCCGTCGACCTCCTGCTGTGGAGACAGCGCCAAGCTCCTTAAGGTACCTCAACTCCAGCTATGTTATTTACCTCTGTTATAGGTGAAGTTGTGTACCTTAAGCTGACATTTCCCTCCCCCCTGCAGTGCAGACCTGGCCTAATAGTGAAGCTTCTTTGTCGAAGAAGGAATGGCAAACTGTGCAACAGATAAGGATGGAGCTTTACCTTGTGCTTTCTTCTGCCTCCAGAAAACCTGCTGGTTCTTACTGTGGCCACCAAGGAGACGGAGGGATTCAAACGCTTCAAAAGATCAGCCCAGTTGTTCAACTACAAAGTGCAGGTGAAGCCCCGCAGCCTTCGGTGGGCAGTGAAAGGGGACGGCGGAGACCATTATCCTGAGAGGGAGGAAACCGGGGGCATGTCCACGTAGGGTCATAGACAGCTCATTCCAGGGAGGGCCTGGAATGAGAGAGGGCGGGTCTGTGAGCTGCTCCCCAGGAAT